TTCGCTTCCCGTAAGTCTCATAGGGGCGATGCATACAGGACCGTAATAATTTGCGAATATAAGACATACGCACACGTTAATTAAAGAATTAAATATAAAATAATAAATAATTAATAAAAAATAAGAATTATGTGTGGAGGGACGTAATAATCAGGAACTACAACCTTTTGAGAAACCCAGTGACAGGGCAATTTTTGATTAAATAGGGACATATTTTTCCAGTCTTCTTGATTATTTTACTTTCACCCCTAAGCTAGGGTAATAATCACCCCGACATGTTTTAATAAAAATTGGGGTCAAATAAGATACAGTTTGAAAGCACTTGTAATTAGCCTATTCGCTCCGTGCAGCTGAACAAGTATCGCCCTCTATTGGATATTATATCATTACCATAAGGTTTACACCATTCAAAATATTTATAAATCTGTAGTAATACAATCAAAATATGTAATTATTCATAAATATTGTCTGTATATTAATTCGTAATTAAATCGTAGTATTTATCTATTCGATATGTCGAGTCCGACAAGGCGATATAATTTCACCTAAACTGTTTACCTTGACCCTCGAAGACATAATAAAATCAACAGATTGGGAAAACAGAGGAATATGTATTAACGGAAACTACCTAAATCACCTTAGATATGCGGATGATATACTCCTGATCTCCTCGGAACGACAGGAACTGAAATTAATGCTGAATGAACTTCATGAAAAATCACTGCAAAAAGGCCTAAAAATTAACTTCAACAAAACTAAAGTAATGACAAACACGGAAGACCAAGAGGCAATAAAAATACAAACAGAAAAAATAGAACAGGTAAATGAGTATATCTATCTAGGACAAGCAATCAGAGCTAACAGAGAAAATCAAACAGCCGAAATATCGAGACGAGTAAGAATGGGATGGGCAGCGTTCGGCAAACTTTCTTACGTTCTAAAAAATCAAACAATCCCTATATACTTACGAAGCAAGGTATATAACTCCTGTATAATACCGGTGCTCACCTACGGAGCACAGACATGGACATTTACACAGGCCAATTTGGATAGGATAAGGAAGGCACAAAGAGCGATGGAGAGACAAATGTTGGGTATATCACTTAAAGATAGAAAACGTAACCAGTGGATCAGAACCAGAACAAAGACAGTAGACGCGATAGAACAAGCAGCAAAACTAAAATGGAAATGGGCTGGACACAATGAGCGTCTCCAAGACGGACGATGGAACAATGCCATCGGAAAGTGGCGTCCATACAATGCAAAGAGATCAAGAGGCAGACCACAGATGAGGTGGAAAGATGACATCAGGAAACAAGGAGAAAACACATGGCAGAGAACAGCTCAAGATAGGGAAAGATGGAGAGAACTGGGGGAAACCTATATCCAACAATGGAAGGATAGAGAATAGGTTAAAAAAAAATTATCTATTACAAATAAATTTGTTGACAGTTCAAAATTTGTATATTTTTACAAACAGAATAATTACAAAGTTAATTTGTACTAAAACGAATTTCAGTGCTTATTTCAATATTGATTTCTTGAGAACCTAATTCTAACCTCACTTTTACAATTTTAAATGCAGATTTACTGTTGTAAATATATAAATTATATTTATATATTATTATAATAGTATTATTGATTTACGGAAACGTTTTATAAAACTAAATATATATGGAATTTAATTTACAGTATTCATTACATAAAAGTTTTTTTCTATATAAATTTTAAACCTTATAGCTGCAATACACAGTTCACATTGATTCTTCTTATTATTTTGTCTCTGAAATCGATAAAAAGTGTAACTACATACTTTTATTGTTACTGTAGCAGTTTGCGGTGCAACAAATATTACCTACTATCGTTTTGAATAATTATAATGTATAATTATTATTTATAAAAACCTTAGATCTGCTTGCCGTTATGCTAAATTCATTACTGAATATAATCTACTAATACAAATTAGATGCGCGCGCCGATTCACTACTAAAAATTAAAGCATTTTCTAATTTCTTGTACTAAAAATAATGAAATATTAACTAAAAGTGAGGGTATTCTCAACTGGTGATAACAATTTTTTAAACAAATTATACATTTGCAAAAAGTTTTATATGCCAAAGGATCTTCTACTAATAATTCTTCATTCAACATATTTAATATTATTTTGCATAAACTTTTTTTAAGAAGTATATGATTTTTTTAAGCATCATTATTGCAATTAAAGATACTGCACATAATTTTAACATTTTTTCGCCATCATTATTTTTACCTGCGTGCTTTGTTTACTCTAATCATAAAACAAACTTCATTGTTAGGTTATCAATGCAAAATTGGTAGAGCGTATGTCTACATGCTAAGTTGCAAACACAAACCCATATTTTTCATATTATATAGACTTATAACTAATATTTTTAGTACTGAAATCAGTACTGAAATTAGCACAATGGCAAGTGGACCTTACGGTGATGACAAATTTGGCCGATATATTTGGATATATGATATATCCCCTCCAGTCAGCTGCACAGAACGAATACACTAGTCTTTAAATTTTTAAATTCAGTCCAGTACTTTGTTTTATTTATTTTTCTACTCTCTTACTAATAAATTGTAATTACCTACTATTTGATGCTAAGTAAATGCATCATAACAGATACTGACACGTAATGACTAGCACGTAATAAAAACAATTACGCTTCAGTTTTATAAAAATGTGTAATATCACATAAGCCTCGTAAGCCAGTTGGTCGAGTTACCATGGAAACGAATTAACAGACGTTATTTTGACAGATTAAACATTATTAATCTGTCAGTGTAAATATAGTGGTAATTTAATTTTTATTTTTATAAACGAAAATTATCGTAGAAAAAGTATAGTACACAACTTGAGTTGTAAGCTTATTACATGCTTGTAAAATTACTGCGCTCGCCGCTACGCGGCTCGCGCGCAACTTTTTTACTCGCATGTGATATCTAAGCTTCTTACAACTCTCGTTATGTAATATACTATTAAAAATGACAATTAAACTTTAAATTGTATTTTTCTATTCTCTTACTAGTAAATTGTATATTGCCTACTATTTGGATGCTAAGTAAATACATCAAAACAGATACTTACACGTCATGACTAGCACCTAATAAAAAAAATTACGCTTCAGTTTTATAAAAATGTGTAATATCACATAAGCCTTGTAAGTCAGTTGGTCGAGTTACCATGGAAACGAATTAACAGACGTTATTTTGACATATTAAATAGTATATTACATAACGAGAGTTGTAAGAAGTTTATTACGTGCGAGTAAAAAAGTTGCGCGCGAGCCGCGTAGCGACGAGCTCAGTAATTTTACAAGCATGTAAGCTTACAACTCAAGTTGTGTACTATACTTTTTCTACGATTATTTTCGTTTATAAAAAAAATTAAATTACCACTATATCTACACTGACAGATTAATAATTTTTAATCTGTCAAAATAACGTCTGTTAATTCGTTTGGTAACTCGACCAACTGACTTACGAGGCTTATGCGATATTACACATTTTTATAAAACTGAAGCGTAATTTTTTTTATTACGTGCTAGTCATTACGAGTCAGTATCTGTTATAATGCATTTACTTAGCATCGAAATAGTAGGTAATATACAATTTACTAGTAAGAGAGTAGAAAAAATTATTAATCTGTCAGTGTAAATGTAGTGGTAATTTAAATACAGATAAATAAAATGAGTTCATCGAATAGTGAAAATGAATGTGAAAATGTATATCAGCAATTTATGGATTGGCGTACAACAAATGATGTAAATTCATTTTCTGAAAACGTACTCTTGGCTTATTTTGGAGAAATCGCTAAGAAATTTAAACCATCCTGATTATGGGCAATATATTCTATGCTATGCTAAGTGTTTTTCGAGCTTATCTAAAAAGGCAATCGAAGGTTTTAAAAACAAAAAATCTAAAATTTTACATCGAGCTCCTGATGTACAGTACTTGTTAATAAAGGTATGTTATTTAAAAGTATAACATAAATGTGCCTACTTATAATACTTTTATTTTAAGGTTATTGCAATTATTGGAATATGTGGAGCTTGTAGGAAACAAGAGTTAAAAAATCTTAAAATTTGTGACATTGATGATTTAAGTACCATGTTATTGGTTAAAATTCCTGATATGAAAACCAAAATATGTAGATCTTTCGTTATTTCCGGAAATTTCTATAATCGAAATATATAGAAATTCGACTACAGATTAGCGATCCGCAAATAAATCAATTTTTTCTTAATTATCAAAGAGGTAAATGTACGAAACAGGTGGTAGTATTAAACAAAATAGGCGGTGTTCCTAAACAAATAGCCGAATATTTAAAGTTACCAGATCCCAAAATGTACAGAGGTCACTGTTTAAGACGAACTTCTGCCACTATTTTGGTAGATGCCGGTGGTGATTTAATGGCTCTTAAACGACATGGCGGATGGAAATCTTCAACAACGGCCTAAGGATATGTCGATGAGTCAATAAATAATAAGACGTCAACAGCCAATAGAATTATAAATTCAATTGAAAGTAATTTACAGACCTTTACATACACTGAAAATACCAATGTTCAAAAAGAACACACCGTACAGTTTACGTCATCTCACCATTCACCACGTATTATTGAACAACCGCCAAACTCGGATAAGGGTATAGTTATAAATAATTGCCAAAATTTTACAATTAATTATTATAAATAAATGTTTAATTTAAATTGTTCCCGAATTTTGTTAAATAAATAAAAGTTACTTGTTATACTTTTTATTATTATAAATGAAAATAATCGTAGAAAAAGTATAGTACACAACTTGAGCTGTAAGATTATTACATGCTTGTAAAATTGATGCGCTCACCGCTACGCAGCTCACGCGCAACTTTTTTGGTCGCATGTAATCAGCTTCTTGCTTGTAATCAGTTATGTAATATACTATTATATAATAGATAAGCATCATATAATAGATTTTATTCAATTTCAGATCGGATGGCACCGAATCTCCCATTTTAGAGGAACAGGAGAGTGCCAATTCAGAAAAACCAAAACAAGTTAAATATGGAGAACTAGTCATTTTAGGGTAAGTTAATTTATTATTACTTAATACGAGTGGTGCTCTAATAATTTTGTTTAAGTAATAGAAGGAAAACATATTTTTGGGAAAAAAAGCTGTATTGTTTGTCAAAGTATCCGGCTTTAAGATAAATACACTTGTTCATTAGAGCAAATCAATCGTCGAAGCATTTATGCCAGTCCGAAATAGTTATCTTAGCAATGAGATTTTTGTATGCTTCGACCGCCTTTTCGGCATCTTAAAACGTTTAATCAGTAGTTTGCTTTTGATTCTCGAAAACGCAAAGAAATCACATGGTTCCAATTTAGGACGGTATGCAAGATGGCTCACCAAATTGATGCTGTAGCCTTCAAACATTCGGATGTTATACGAGCAGTACGGGAGCTGGGATTCTCCTTGGCCGTCCCGTTGAATCGCTTCGAGTGTAGCGCGTGAAAATTTTCACGGAGGTTTCCATTTCTTCACTAAATTGATTGGTTTGAAAATTGTTGCTGCTAAACTATGCGGTGGACTTTCAATCTGTCAACGTTGTCAACCGTAAGAAATGTCAAAATTTACGAAAATCATATTTACGGTTGATATATTAATGGAGTAACTTCCGCTAGACTGTGCATAAATTTAGTGTATAAATAAAAACATGAAATTTTTCTAAACCGTAACTTATCTTAGTATCGAGATCGCGTTAAAATGGACAACTAAATCAACATTAATTTGTAAATAAGTGGTGGTACCTCTAAAACTAATGGACAACTAAATCAACATTAATTTGAGAATAGGTGGTGGTACCTCTAAAACTTAAGAAGATTTAGTTAATTACAATTTTAGTTATACATATCATATCTGCTATAGGTTATTCCACGAATATACGACCTGTTTTGGATTATTGCGACAACGAATGTTTTACTGTGCAAGTAGAAGTATAAAAGTAAATTGGTCTAATCATTATTCCAATAAAAAGGATCTACTGTTAGTATGACATCTAAACTAAAATTATTTCAGTTAATAGATGTTCAGATAGACGCAAAATTTATTGTGAAATTTAATCAGAAAACAACAAAAATTTTTATGCAAACGCTCCTACAAATAAATACAAGGACGTCTATGAAGCCAAATGTGTTCATCAGACATTTATGTTGGGTTTCTGTGAAATGTAAACACCAAAGAGGCTTGTCGGATTTCTTTGATATTACACTATTTTATTACTTTATTAGGTATTACGTCTGTAATAAAAAGAAATATACTATTTTTAATATAAATGAAACGACGATTGGCAGAACGATGGTATAGAAACCAGAAAAAGAATCTAATATTTCACTTTGTTAGTTTTAAATATGTATTTGTTTGCTTTGAGTGATTGTACTCTTAAAAGTACCGAAAGTAAAGGGTATACAATACAGGCTACTGATAGTTAAAGTACCGAGACGTTACAGATATTAAAAAGTAACGAAAATTTACTACAGTTTCATATATCGCCGACTGAGTTTAGTTTTAAAGCCGTATATAGTGTCAGATGAAGAGAGGTGTCCGTTAAGAGAAAGTTTAGTGTAGTGTATTTATTTATTGAAGCCAAAAATGTCTTCATATTTAAATCTAAGGTTTATATCTGTCATAACATTTTTTTTAAAATGGGGAGAATTTACTATTGTACAATTCAGCACATTCGACCATTTAAATCTATACTTTAAACCGAATTGTATATTCGTGAAATGGAGTATACCATATTCGCTATCATGACTTTATTGGCAGCGTGTTTGTCTTCTACACCAGAAGAACAAACTTTTACTTTCGATTTTCCCTGTATAATGTCTATATAGCCACATTTGAAAAGCTTTAAAATATGGCGTCACTTCATGATCCACGCTTCTACTATACGTATTAGTACTGCAAAGAGATACCAGTGTATCAGTCTCGAAGGTCAATAGTAAGATAATGACTGCAAAGGACGTTTCTCATTTTTAGAATTTTTGCTCCTACTACTTATGTTTGACTTTTAATTTCTATGGTTGAATCTCAGCCCTCATTGATATTACTGCGGTAATACACTAGTTTCTCCACTCTGTCCCATATTACATCTTCGAATCTAATTGTGTATTGTGTTTATTGTATTTGTGCCAGCAAAAAAGTTTATGGTTTATGATAGATACTCTCTCAGAACTTTGGGTATCACTTCATTAGACCGTGACGCCATTTCCCTCTCCAACTTTTTTGGTTCTGAAAATCAGAAGACAAGTTCGTCATACAATATGAAAAGTTGATTTTGCTGTTATGTAAAAATTAGCTGGTTATCTGTGTCAATTCCGCCATAGTAGTTTGTCTGGCATGTTTGAGTCGTCAGACGCGTTGAATGACCTATATTTATTATCAGACAACTTCAGTGTTTTTCTTATAATTTTTAAGCTATTTAATTAAAAGAATGTATTGTCTGACAGAACTGGTTTCCGATTTTCCTGTCTGACAGGTGAAAATTTACGGGAACATTAGAGGAAAACGCCACAGAACCAAAAAAAAAGTCACAGAGGAAAGTCGTATCAGACTAGGCCTAATGCAGCGATACCCAAATTTTGGAGAGAGAGTCTAGAGCCCATACAGAGACATCGTTTCAGGGGCAGCAACCCCCATATTAGAAGTCTTACGTTGCCATGCAGGGTATCTGTTACGAACTTTTAACATCACATCAACCTATTAACAAAGTTTGTATCATTTTTACGGTTTATATCTACATATTTCAGTTGACTTATATACACCTGGTAAATGCACTGATGATGGACTTGTTAGTCCGAAAACTTTCGTTGATGTAGCCCGAAAGGGACTTTTTAATTATGTAACTTTTATTAAGGATTTTTAAATAAAACCTTTGGAGAGAGTATCTATCATAAACTTTTTTGCCAACGGGCAGTTTAACTATACATTTAGTTTTCTTAACGTAATCCATACAGATCACCGGTCTGACATATTTATTAATATGATTTTAAAGAACCTCGGTGCGGTTGGTCACAGTGCTAAGATATCGTCGGTATATCTATTGTTTTTATTTGTAACAACAGTCTTCTTCTTCGCGTGCCATATCAAAATTATCTGACGTTGGCGATCACCATTGCGAAGGCTTCTCGATCTTCTGCAATATGGAATAATTGTCCTGCATTTGGTATCTGAGTCCATTCACGAATGTTTTTAACCAAGAAACTTGTTTTCTTCCTACACCTCTACGGCCCTCTATTTTGCCTTTAAGGATCAGTTGTAATATTTTATATCGACTTCCTCTTACTATATGTCCCAGACAAGACATTTTTCGATGTTTAATAGTGTTTAGCAGTTCACTATCTTTGTTGACGCCCCTTAGTACTTCTTCATTAGTTTTCCTTGCTGTCCAAGGTATCTTCAGCATTCGTCTATGAATCCACATTTCCAATGCTTCAATTTTGTTCATGATCGATACTTTTAGCGTCCACAGTTCTGCACTATACAAAAGTACGGACCAAACATAGCACTTAACCATTCTTTGCCTTAGTTCTAAACTAAGATGGTTATTGTATTGGTAACAATAGTAAATAATGTAAAAACTCATTTTAACAAAGTCTAATTAGCTGAAAATTCGCATAGTGTAAAAAATACATTCTTACATTTACGTCATGCTTAATTCAATGTTTATCATATTTTAGGGTCAATGTGAACATATTGTTTGTCACATAAATAAAGACCATGCCAATTTTAAATGGAATAATAGCAAACAAAGAGCTGTTCGGTTTATTTTTATGTGTTTCAAGTATGTTTACAATTGTCCAATAGCCACGAAATAAAAGTTTTGGTACAGGACATAACATTTATTTCTTAATACAAATCAGTAACCGATTGCTTTCTCATCCTTGTAAACCTTTTAAATTTAAGTCTAAACTATAGCCAGTATATCTGCAATTGTATAGTCTTTTACTGAATTTCTGTAGCTTTTGTTTAAACATAATATACTTTATTTGGTTATGAACCACTCGTTGAGATGTACCTGCTTGTTATGTCTAGGTGGAAATATCTCCTTTGTTCCGTATTTCTACATCATGTTTTCCTATGATACCTTCCTGTTATCCTTTGCCAATCTTGGCAATTAAATCTCCCATGACAATATTGAGCTGGTGTTTTTTTAGACGCTAAATCATGCAATTTTTCAATATTTTCTTTATTGTCTTGTCTTTCTTATTGATATTTACATTTTTGTATTTTTACGTGGTTAATTCCGTTTGATTATTTTTTCAGCTTCCTTTAGAAATTTTCAACAAGTATCTTTTGTATTTGCTATCAAAAGTTTCTTATACAATTAGAATTTTAATTCTTTTGATAAATAAGAAAAGTTTTTGAAAATATGATATTAAAAATTAGAAATTATATCCAAAACAATAGCTTATAGAAAAATTCTGTCATTGGTATTTAATTTAATATAATTCTTACAATGCAAAGATCACCTTTTTGAAATCTGGTGGTTCTTGTTCTTAAAGGTATCTTGAGTAAGATCGTCGTTTAAAAAAAATGTCGATGGAGACACATTTTTGAGAGATGTCAATAACCTAAGTAAATTTTATTATAATGTAGGAACTAGAAAAATAAAGTCTCTTGTCGAGCATTTTCCATAAAAGCTGAAAACTCAAATTATTTTTCCAATGTCGTCGTTGAACATTGAAAGGTAACAATAATTATGAAACGACGCGACAGAATCGCACAAATCTAGAAACATACTCAGTAACATTTTTCAAGAGTTTCCAAATGATGTATTACTTGCCATATGATCCCGAAATTGTGCCCGTCTGTCATTTTATTGATTAATTCACTAAAACATAAAAAATATGAACAGATACCTTAGTTAAATTTTCCAAATATTTATGAATTTTATGCATCAATAAATAGTTAAACGGGCAAGAGGTTTTAGACGCACACTATACAATGATCGGTTGTCCGTTTAGATCTTTTGTAGTTTGTTCTTTTTATTTGAATTTCATAATAATAATAATTATTGCTCACCA